TCCATCCAAATTCCAGCAGAAAAACAATGTCATGACCTGGAACATCTAGAGCTCTTGAGGTCAGCTCACAATGGCTCTGGCTTGGCTTTGAGAACTTTTCAATGACCCAAACAACAACCTAGTCAACGTCTTAGATGCTGATGACTGAGATAGAAAATGGGCTAAGCCATCAGAGGTCACAGAAGCAGGGTAAGTTTTAAGGATAGGGGAAGGGTTAGCTGGGCGTGGTGGCCCAGGCCTGAAATCCCAGGAACTCAGGCAGCCAAGGCAGGAGGATTGCAAGTTTGAAGCTAGTCTCAGTAACTTAGAGTGAGACAGTCCCAAAATACAAATTCAAAGGGTTGGGGCTGGGGTTGTGGCTCAGTGGTGAAGTGCTTGCCTGGCATGTGTGAGGCACAAGGTGTGATCCTTAGCACCACATAAAATAAAGAAAACAAAGGTATTGTGTCCATCTACAACTAAAAGCAGGGGTGGTGGTGCGCTGGGGATACAGCTGAGTGGTTAAGCACCCCGGGCTCAATCCCCAGTACCAAAAAAGGGAAGAGTTTTCTCTGGTAGCCTAGAATGTGGACTAGACATTAGGGGAGTGGCTTGCAATGAGGGAGCTGGTGTGAGAAGCGAGCTGGACAGGTGGAGGTGGGGCAGGCCAGCCTGGGGTGACCTTGGAACTCTGAAGGGCTCATCCAGGAAGAGCTGGGGTGGGTGTAAGTGGCAGCCTACATGAGGGAACTTGTTCCCTCCCACATGGTGCAAGACAAAGTGAAACTGTTTGTTCCACCTCTGCTCCCAATGACTGTGCTTCTCCCTTCCTGGCCTTGATGTAGGACACCTCATGCCTCTGCCATGCATCTTATGAAAACTTAAAATGAAAATACAAGTTCAGAGCAAATTTAAAGTTCTGTGAAACTTGTCAGTTCAGTAAAACTATCCTGAATACAGTGCCAATCACTCGGGCACTTCACTTCTCAAAGGGAAAGGACACTTGCACCTTGGCATGCGCCTGCTCTAGACCAACCCCTTCATTAGACCCTGCACAGAGAAAGTGTTCTCTCTGCAAGCTTGCTCATGCTTTGCACGTGAGTCACTCTAATCTTCTGAGCACTGTCACCTGTGCCAGGTAACTATACAGTAGCTATCGAATAGAAAAGCCAGGTCCTGGCAAGACAGCCACTCTGGGGGCACCATATCCACCAAGTGGAGGTTACTGTGAGGCCCTCCTGTGTGTAGGACAGCAGGCCCTGGCGCTCAGGAGTAGGGGGGCTGTGGGTCTTACTTAAATTCGAGAGCACCTCAAGGCCACCCATCTATTTTGGGGATGAAAAGGACCTCCATCTAAAAGAAAAGAGCTGAGGATTGAACCTAGGCCTCGCATGTGCTAGGAGGTAAATGGGATGGGGAGGGAGGGCGAAGTACTGAAAGGGGGACCTGGAGCAGCCGCACATAAATCCTGGGGCTGCACAGGGGGTGGAGAGCTGGACAACAGCAGCGGAGCACAGCAGCACAGAGCAGGAGCACGGGGAGGCAGCAGAAGAGTTCTGGCCTCAGCCCTTGGCAACAGTGAGAAACCACAGAGAGCTGCCCCAGAGGCAGAAATGAAAGTGAGGGGAACGGACAGAGAGCTTAGAGAAACAGCAGGTTGATGTGAGTTTTCCTACTCACATTTTATCGGTTTTTGCCATCAGAAATAATTCTTTCACTACCTACGTCAAAGAGCCATAAGGATAAATAACAGGCATAAGTCCTTAAAAAAATAAAAAACGATTTTTTAAAAATGGAAAATTATAATGAAAAGCCTTTCAAAGGAATCTAATGTTGTCCTCTGATGGACTGCATTTCGTCAGTCTTACCCACTTATCAAAAATAATTCCATATGGATTAGAAAAGAGCTGCATGGATGAAAAGTTCAAGGCCGGCCTGGGCAGCTTAGTAAGATTCCACACCTCAAGGGGAAAAAGGGGGCTGGGGATGTCGCTCAATGGTAGGGCACTTTCCAGGCATGCACGAGGCCCTGGGTTCCATTCCCAGTACTGGAAGGAAGGCAGGAAAGGAAAAAACAAAACAAAGAGAAGAAAGAGCCATGAGATTATGGCTGTGTTCATAAAACAGTTGCACAGATTTAGCTGCTTTATCCAAAATTTGTCTCCTATAGCAAATATGCTGATAAACCATAGCTCCAAAACCTGACACTCTTCATGGCTTTTAGGCTATATGGTCACTTGGTCAAAAAGTAAATAATATAAATTTAAATGGCTTAATTTTAACATAAAATTTTTGAATGGGGTGAAACTGTGGATTTTCCTCCATGACTCCTGAGAAGCACCTCATCTGTACTGGACGGGCATCTTTTTCATATCTGTCAACTGCTGAAGCTATGCCCCAAAGTTTTGGAGAACATAAGAAAAATCAGCATAAACAACCACTGTTCAGAGGACAAAACTTGCGGTCTCTGACTGAGAGGAGGTCACTGCAGGAAGTCTAACTTGGACATGATGCTGCCAGAGAGGAAACTCTCACAATGAAAGGAGCACCTGGACTGGCAGTCTGCAGCCAGAGTGCGACAGGCTGGGAAGTAGAATCAAAGGGGCCCTGAAGGCGATATCTATACATGCATGCGACACAAGTGGCTGGGCTTGAGAGTCGAGGCCCTCTTTGAGCGTCTTCTTCCCCAGCTAAGTGGCTTGGGAGGCAGCCCTGCTCCTTGGGGAAGGTTTCAGTGAAGGTGACTCAAATGGTTGTTTACGTTACTATGCTCAGTTCTCTCAGGTACTGAATCCGCACACCAGAACAGGAATGTAACCTTTTTAAAAAAAATATTTATTTGTCTTTTAGTTGTAACTGAACACAATATCTTTATTTTATTTATTTATATGTGGTGCTGAGGATTGAACCCAGGGCCTCACATGTGCTAGGTGAGGGTGCTGAGCCACAAGCCCAGCCCCGTGCTGAAGAATTCCTAATTGTCACTGGACATCCCCAGTGAAGTTCCAGTTCTTAAGACAGGACTTTCCTTTGACCTTCTGGCTCCTCCTTTGTCCACCCCACAAAAGTGAGGCCAGGCTTCTCACAGCACAAGACCTCATGGCCTCAGGCACTGTGAGGCTCCTGGCTCACAAAGACCATCTGCTGCCCAGAGCTCCAGGCCCATTTTACCCGACAGCACAAGGGTAATTTGACACGTGAGCATGTCAAATTCAACGTGTTCCACCTGTCATCCAACAGACTGATCACATTGGTCCTTCTGCCCCAAATTTACTCCCTTCCCTGCCTGGGTCTGCCAGGCCTGGTCCACTATTGCTTGTCCCTGTCTCAGGGCTGCCTGACTGTCCTGACTCCGCTGACTTCTCTCTCGAATTTCTCCCTTTATTTAGTTCCACCTGTGGCATTTCTTCTTTGGTGCAGTACTTGTCAGTTTGTACTAAGCGAATACTGCCCCGACCGGCAGCCATACGCCTCCCCAGCACAGGCCTGGTACAAAGCAGAGCGCAAAACACATTTGTGTTGGACTGCATAACCCTACACATGACCGATACTGCTGAAGCTAGAACCCTGCAAGTCGAAGCATCTCAAGATCCAATCAGCCTGCAATTCCCTCGATAACAGAACAATTAAGAGCGCTGGTTAGAAAGATCTGGATTAACACATGCACTCGTGTTCCCCAGAGATGTTTTAAGTACCCATAACACATTTCTTCAGGAACTAAAATGGCTGAGTTTATAAATATCCTCAACTTTTCTATCTCCTGCTCAGAAATGATAGGAAGAAATGATGACTCAGTTTCACAGCCTCAAAGCTGTGCCCAGTAACCTTAAGATGATGGCGTGGAAGGCACCTCATGCTTGCCAGGAATTTGCTTTGGTGTCATAATTAGGTCAACTACGAAAGGGACCCATTTTATTTGCTGGGAGGCATAGGCAAGGACTCCTACCTACACTTTCTCAAACTTTTCCTCTTGCGTCAATTAACTGGCATGTGTTGGCATCACAGTTCACAGTACAGGAAAAGCAGCACCTCGGCCCGGGTGGGCGGGTTGAGGCTAGAGTTCACTTCCCCTCCGAGTGCCCACAAGTCGATGGGACGTGTAGACGTTCTCCCCTTGGTTCATCCTAGTACCCGAAAGCTGCGACCTGAGGCCAGCCAGGGCGAGCTTCCGGCACCGCGGCCCTCGTGCCCACCCGACCAGGCTCCGCATAGAGAGACCCAGAGCCCGGCGCCGGGGGTGCCTGTGCCCCTGCTTAATGCCACAAAAACCCTTTAGCTTTAAACCCTCGGGGGCATTCTAGGTAAGTCGCCGCCACCACGGGCACTTGTCCTCCTGGCCCAGGGCGCAGGCACCCTCCGAGGCGGCAAGGCCCGAGATGCCAGCGCCGCCCTCTGCTCGCGGCCCCGGGGCGCCCACCTGCCAGGGCGCCAGCGACACCCGACGGGCCCGCGGAGCGCCGGGGGACTCGCGGCCTTCCCGCGCTTACCAGGGTGAGGGCCACCTCCAGCATGGGCGCCAGGGCCAGCGTGCCGTGGAAGAGGGGGATGCAGTCCACGAAGAGGGTGTGGGGGGCGCCCGGGCCGCCCAGCGGCAGGTGCTCCTTGCGCGGCTTCTGCTTCTCCGCCACCAGCAGCCCGTTGACGGCGCAGTGCGGGTACTTGGCGCCGTGCAGCAGCATCTTGCAGTAGGCCTGGGTGGTCAGCTTCACCCCGGGCATGCTGAGCCCGGCGGCCCCGCACCGCGGCCGGCCGCGCGGCGCCTCCGCCGATAGGCAGGACGAGGCGGCGGCGACCCCTGGCGCGGACGCGGGCTGGCGGCCCCACAGGCCGGCCGCTTCCGCCCCTCACCGGCCGCCGCCCCGACGCGGCTCGCCCTCCTCGCCGGCCCGCCGGAAAGCGGCCTCGCCAGCGCCTGCCGGAAAGCAGCACGGCCCGGCGTTTCGCGACGTTCGCGGCGCTGCGGCCTCCGCGCGGCTGGGCGCGGGCGGGGCTTCTCGGTTCCCGTGGTGCCCCGCGGCGTGGCTCGCTCTTCCGGCCAGGGCCTCGGTCTTCCGGTCACGGGCAGCCGGGGCGCAGAGGGCGGTCGCGGCGGTCGCGGCGGCGCAGGTGAGGGTGGGGCGGCCGGCGCTGGGCCGCGAGTCGGGTGGCTCGTGGGGTCGTGGGTCGGAGGGCCTGCGCGCTTCGGCCGGCAGCCGGCGCCCGCGTGGGACGGCGGGCAGACTGGGGCGCGGTGACATTGAGGCCTGTCCCCGGGGCTGTGGGTTCGGGGTCCTTCCGGCGGCGGCCTCGGTGCGGGCCCGGAGCGCCCGGCCGGGCCGCTCCCGCCTCTCCGCCGCCTGGCGCGCGGGCCTCGGGCTCTGACCTTGGGGCGCCCGCTGCGAGGCGCGGGCCGCGGGGAGGAGGGCCCGCTGCCCTGCGGCCTCGGCCGCTTCCTTCTCCACGTCCGCGCGACCCCGGGTGACGCGGTGGCCTCCGGCGCTGCCCTCCCCGCCCGGCTCCCGCGAGCGGCGGGCTGGGTCCTGACGTCGCGCCGGTTTCTTTGCCCTGGGGGGACATTTTCAAGGGCTTCGCGAGCCTTCTGGTCGCCCTGCAGGACGAGCGCAGGTGCAGTGTGGATGCGACGGAGCCGTGTAGGTGGGCCCGAGTCCAGGGCCCCGGGAGCGGGTCATCGAGGTCGTCCGTTGTCCGCAGGGCTGGAAGCGGGCCAGGGCCACGATTGGCGTCTCTGCCCGCTGCGATCCGTGCACCGGGAGGTTTTTCAGTACTGCTCGATTGCGGGCCTGTGCCACTCCTGTGAGCGCTACCTTTTCCCCAGAGACCGAGCTTGTCTTGGTAGCACAGCATCTTACTGTCTTATAGCATTTCCAGTTATTTTTAATTTTTTTCTTCTCATATTTTAAGAAGGCTGATTTTCTGTTAATTGCCCAGAACAAGTATATGTTATGGCACTTGGGTTTATCATGGAGCTCTGTAAAAATGTACTACCAAAAATACTTCATGTTACTTTGTGAATTAGGATCATTTTACAGAGAATGGATCATTATGTTGGATAGAAGCAAAAAAAAAAAAAAAAAAAATGAATTGGATTCACTTCCAAAGTGCCCTGGGGCAAAAAGATGGCTTATCCCTAATGTGTGTTTGCCCTCATTCATAGAGAAGGTATATGTTTTTTTTTTTCTTCCAGAATGTTGGCTACCAGGGTCTTTAGCCTAATTGGCAAGCGAGCCATTTCCACCTCTGTGTGTGCACGAGCACATGGTAAGTCTGACTTTTCTTTTAAATGGGCTGAGCTATTTTAGTTTGCTCCTGCTGTGTACCGGGCCCTGTGCTGGGGTTTCAGGGATGCCTATGATCTTGGTCTTGGAGTTGCAGGACTGCAGGGGGATATGGATATTTCAGCAGGGATTATATTGAGGTCTATTTATGAATCATGTTAAATATTAGTGGGGGTCCTTGCTTATGTTGTTATTTCCCCCTTTTCCTTTCTGGTTTTTCAGGTTCCAGTTCCACCCCTTTCAAGAGGTCTCATTACATCTGACTTTAGTGACCCCCCTACCCCGACTTCTGTTTACACAGTAGAGGCACTGGAAGCAAAAGAGCTTGGATGTCCACCTGAGCTGGGTTGGAATCCTATTTCTATCATGACTAGCTACTTAAGTTTAAGTTTAAGAATCTCACCTGAAATATATAGAGAGGTTAGTTCTGTGCCTGGCATATAACCAGTTGTCACCCACAGCTGGAGTGGAGGGAGCTCAGCTCCACCAGATCTCCTGCAGAGACCCATCCTGGTTGAGGACAGGAACACAGAAATTCTTTAGAATGTGGAATCCTTTTGCTTTTCTATCCCTTTTTTAGAAAAAGAATTTTTGGTGTTTGAGCCTTTGCTTTCCTCTTTCATTTACTGGGGAATCAGGCCCAAGGCTCTGAAGAGCCCAGGAGATTGTGAATTGGCTGTTCTTGTTTTAAAATATGCTGTTTTATGGCTAGTGTGCTCCAAGGCTCTGAGACTTTATGTCTTTATAACAGCTTTATGAGATGTAGTTCACTGACAGATTCATCTAATTAAACTGGTCTTTAGACTGTTCACTGATAGGTGCCATTGTTTCTGCTGTTGAATCTAGAACATTCTCATCGGTCCAGTTTGTATCTATTTCAATAACTCTTAACAGCTAGAGACTTTGGATGGGGGCGTGCTGAAGTTGGTAAGCTTTCTAGTCTGCTGTTTTAATTGGGAACCAGTTCTGGCCATTTTCACTCCAGATCCTTTTGGGGTGGGGGCAAGTGCATTTATGTAAGTGTGCCGGTGGTCTGCTGGCTTGGGATCAGCACCTGGAGGAGCTGCACTGTTGCTCAAGGCTCAGTGTCTTATTGCACGACTGTGTGACTTGGGAGCCTTTAACCATGTGGCTGAGCTGGTGGAGGGGGAGCAGGGCTTTGTCTCTCCAGACCAGTTTGGGACATAAATTGATCTTGCAGCAGAACAGAACTGGAGAAGCGCTGTCAGTGGGGATCCTGAAGTGAAAACAGCTTCGTCTTCTGTCCTGCGCTGTGCCTGCAAAACACAGTACAGGCGCATTTTAAGCAGAGTGAGGGGTCTGCAGGCAGATCTCTCCTCCTCCTACTCGCGATAGCTAGGTTTTACCCAGCCAGAAGTTTTTGCCTATTTAGTTGCACACATGTGATTCACGTGTGTACATGATTTACGTTTTTCAAAAGGAAAACAAAAACAGCACCAGCCTTTCTGTGACCCACTGAGTGCTTGATTCCTGTGCCTGTGATTCTAGGACCGCTTCATTCACTTAGTGCCATGGCCTGTCTCCTGCACAGGAGCATTTCTGTCATGTAGTTTACACAATTTGTATCTTGTTTTTCCCCACTTCTAGAATGTGGTCTTTGATTGGCTCACCGATAATCCCATACATCTAGAGCCACACTTAGCAGGCAGTAGGTGCTTGGTAAGTTGGTGAAGAATGAGTAGGAGACTCTGATGCCCTTTCTAAAGGGTTGGCGCAACTTCTGAGCCAGTCCTCAGTTGGGCACAGTGATCCCCATAATGCTGCTGCCATGGCCCCTTTTCCTGTACCTAGGTTTCTGAACTTGGAACGCTTGTTCTTCTGCCTTTCATGTTGCCTTTGTTCTTATCAGTTTGAGTCCCTTGCAGTAGGGCCCTCCTGGGTCCATTCTCCCATCCAGGCAGGGAGCCCTGTCCAGCTCTTGTGATAACTGCTACAGGAAGTGGTGCCAGGGTCCATTAGCGGTTGAATGAAGTGGTGCCAGGGTTCATGCTGTGTATCATGCTTCCACTTCACCACGAGCCACCGTTCTCATCCAGATGTCTACCCCATGTGCTTCCAGGGAGCGTGGTGAAGAGCGATGACTTTGCTCTGCCCAGTTATGTCGACCGGCGTGACTACCCCTTGCCTGACGTGGCCCATGTCAGGCAGCTGTCCGCCAGCCAGAAGGCCCTGAAGGAGAAGGAGAAGGCCTCCTGGAGCAACCTGACCAGGGACGAGAAAGTTGAGTGTGGGTATCAAAGGGCAGGCTGGCACACCCAGCAGCACCGGGCAGCGCGTGGCGTGGATTGCTTATTGAGCACTGCTGGGTTCTCGCTGACTGTCCTGGGGCCCCAGCTCCCTGGGGAGGGGTGGAGGGTGTAGCTGCAGCCTCAGAGTAGACATGGTGGGTAGGACTTAGCTTAAATGTAAATTGTGGCAAGAAGACCCCTATAAGTCTCTGTTCCTTATGAAAGGGGCCTGGAAAGAATGTCACAGAGCAGACCCTCACATGGATCCAAAGGAAACGTCATCCCTTCATCCCTCCTCCCCTCAGGTGCTGTTGTGAGGGTGTGTGTGCACATGCAGGGGTGTTAGGGCCAAGGCTGCGCTGTCACCCTCAGCTCCTTGTTTTCTCCCTTGGCTGTGCCATGGGGAGGGGGTGAGCCCTGTGGAGGAGGGATGTGGCCACTTCAGGCTCTTTATGTCTGCAAATGGCTCTTCCTTCTGTCCCAGTGTATCGTATTCAGTTCAACGAGAGCTTTGCTGAGATGAACAGGGGCACCAACGAGTGGAAGACTGTGGTGGGCGCAGCCATGTTCTTCATCGGCTTCACCGCCCTCATTCTGATCTGGGAGAAGCGCTATGGTGAGTACAGTGTTGCACCCAGGGCAGCCCCCACCCGCAGTGCCCAGTAGTGTGCTGGCAGGACCTGCACACTGCCTTGGAGCCAGAGGTGGGCACTTGCGTTCCAGGGTCCATCCCAGGGTGGTGTTCGGTGTCTGGGGACCTTGAAGCGGTAGGAGGTTGGTTTTAAGCTGGAGTCACCGTTCATGGTTGGACTTCCTGTGTGAGCGAGTACTTGCTGCTTTGAGCAGCCTGCCACCACCTCTCAGTGGCAGCTCGATGGCTCACAGCCAGGTATCCGGAGATGCCTGGCAGGCGCTGGTCCGGTTGGCTCTGGGTCGCGGTGCTGCACCTCAGCTGAAGCCCGAGCCCCAGGCCCCCCTCCCTCAGCTTCCGCCTTTTGAGAGTGCATTCCTGTGCTTCAGGTTTGAGTGGGGATGTGGTGAATGGCACGCCAGCCTTGTCTGGTCTCCCCGGTGCCATCGGCCCCGAGTGTCTTGTGCTAGCCTGGGGTCCTTGCTGCAGATGCCTGTGGAGATGTGCTCCAGTTTAATGATCTTACTGCTGACCTTTTGTAAACAGGAATGATTTTAAAAACATCAGGCCTTGTCAGTGCCCAGAAGCACAGCCTTTGAGTGAGAGTGGAGTTGAGTGGAGAGTGGCTTTGTGCTAGTGGCCTGAAAGGGGACCTAACCCCTGTGAGGCACTGGGTGGGCAGCCTGTGAGGACAGTCGTCCTCATATAGTGGTTTTGAACCGCAGTGTACGGCCCCATCCCGCACACCTTTGATGAAGAGTGGGTGGCCATGCAGACCAAAAGGATGCTGGACATGAAGGTCAGCCCCATCCAGGGCTTCTCCGCCAAGTGGGACTATGACAAGAATGAGTGGAAGAAGTGAGAGCCCGCTGCTCACATGCTGGTCACTTCAAGTTCCTCTGCATCTTTACTGGAAACCCATTACGTCAAACAGAACCAGTGCTAATAAATGACGAGTTACGTGGAATCCGTGTGGTTTCTTGGATGGTAGCTGAATGAAAGTGTATTTAAAACTCTAGGTTCTCTCAGGCATCCGGAGTAATGTATTGTGGGTGTAAAGTAAATGGCAGAAAGCTTGTGTCTTAAATTGTACAAGGGGATGTTACATAAAAACTTAGAGTCTATGATGTGGGGCTTTTTAAAACTTTCTTGTTTTTGAGACAGTCTTTGTTAAGTTGCCCAGGCTGGTCTTGAACTTGTGATCAGCCTCCTGATTTGCTGGGATTATAGTTGTACACCAATGTGCCCTGTAATGTTGAGGGGTTTTTTTGGTGGGGGGAGGGTACTGGGATTGAACTCGGAGCACTTGACCACTGAGCCACATCCCCAGCCCTATTTTGTGTTTTATTTAGAGACAGGGTCTCACTGAGTTGCTTAGTGCCTCACTTTTGCTAAGGCTGACTTTGAACTCAGGATCCTCCTGTCTCAGCCTCCTGAGCCATTGGGATTACAGGCGTGTGCCACTCCTCGTTTTTGACAGATTTTCAGTAAAATCTCATTGGTTAGCCAGACCAACAGAAATTCCCGTGAGCCACTTTTTTTTTTTTTTTTTTTTAAATATTGTTTTAGTTGTAGGTGGACACAATACCTTTATTTTCTATGTGATGCTGAGGATCGAACCCAGGGCATCACATATACTAGGTGAGCACTTTGTCACGGAGTCACAATCCCAGCTCCCATGAGACACTTTTTCCTGGGACTGTCTCTTGAAATTGTCCCCATTGGCTGGACTGTGAGGTGACTGCCCTTATGCATAGGGTAGGCCAGATCATGAACTCCCTGACTGAGGTCTAGGTAATGGATTTGGTGGCCTTGGCTGACTTATGGCTGCTCAATTTCAACGTCTCTACTTTCACCTTAAAAGGCAGCAGTAGGGATGGGGTTGCTCCCTGGTGAGCGCTGGCCCAGCGTGCTGGAGGCCCTGGGTTCCAGCGGTGTAATGAGCATCATCCCTGCCTCCGGCCAGACCCCTGAAGACTCAACCCTGTTGCCCTCTCCCTGTCTGGAGATGTGCTAGGAGAAGCAGGAGGAGTGCTTGAACAGAGATGGTAAGCTGATGGTAGCAGGGGTGGCTGGTGCAAAGGGTCTCCTGCCTGCATTGGATAGGAGGGAGACTGGCAGGACAGGGTGACCCTAGGGAAGCCTGGCTATAGGGGCAAGCCGGGTTGGGCTCTTTGCTTGACCATTGGGACTGCCTGGAAAAGGGCCTGGGGCCTCTCAGGAGGTTCCCAGAGCACGCTGTTAGCCCTGTCCACTGGTCTGCTGCTGCCCTGAAAGGCCCTGATCCCTCTTGTCAAAGGGCCTGCAGACGTGCATGTGGAGGAAGTGCTGGGGTCTCGCTGTGGGGACCAGGTGGTGCCAGCTGCAAAGCCTGAGCCTCCCTCTGGGCAATGTCATTTCAGCTCCCAAGGGTGGGGTGGGACTCTGTGGCACTGTGCAGCCTCATGAGCAATGGCAGGTAGGTCCCTCTGGGCCAGGCATTTCAAGGATGGGCTCGCTCACGACTCCCAAGAGGAAGGGGCTCTGCCCCAGCTGTCAACCTGGATTGTCACAATCCTCATGCCTAAAACACTCAGGGTCACTCCAGGTGAACTGGGCTGCACGAAATAACCACACAAGAGAGAGATACCTTTTTCTTTGGGATCTCATGACGGCTCCTCTGACCTTAAGGGTCTGCAGAAAGCTCAAGTGAGCCAGTGTGTGATGAACCCTTTTATTGAGGAGCAGCCATTCAAATGAGGCCAGGGGTTAGGTTTCAGGGGCTGAGTCTAGCTTGTGATGTCTGCTGTCAGCAGGTTGACTGACATCTAGGAAGGCCACGCCTAAGGGCAGAGCAAGAGAAGGGGACACACAAAGGGTGTTTCCATGGAACATTCTATCCCAAACAGGACAAAGGGGCAATATCACAAAGGAACAGGTGAGCGTAGCTCAATCCATGGGGTGCCTACGTCTGAAGATGTGTTCTTAAACTCCTGGGACCGGGGTAATGTCCAGGTCACTATGAGATGTAGTGATGTCAGAGCCTCTCCGACTCAGGGAATCCTTCAGACTGGCTCCCCACACTGGATGGCTCCCAGTAGAGCCTCCTTGCACCCTGGGCTATGTGGCCTCGCCTCCCCACCAGTCAAAAGACAAGATTACAACAATTCAGAGATCTTGGTTGGCTTTTTTTTTTTTTTTTGGTATAGAAGATTGAACTCGGGGGCACTCGACCCCTGAGCCACACCCCAGCTTAGTGCCTCACCGTTGCCGAGGCTGGCTTTGAACTCAGATCCTCCTGCCTCAGCCTCCGGAGCTGCGTGTGCACCACTACACCCGGCTTGATTGGTTTTATTTTCGGTTCTAGAACTGAATTACAGTTCATTTCCTAAAATGAGCAAGTGCTCCAATGGCCTAAGCCAAGGAGGCTGGCTCCGTGGGCGGGCTTGAAGGAGGCAGAGATGGACTGCAGGGCAGATGGGTCATTTCCAGGTGGCTTCCCTTAAAAGGTGGCAGTGATTGCTCAGCCTAGGTTACTGCAGGTCACCTTGTGTGCAGCCATTCAAACAGAACTTTGTTACCTTGCCAGAGGGGACAGGGCTATTTGAGACATCTGGCTGTTCTCTCTAGTTCTGACTGGAGGATGAGAGGGACAGCGTGGTTTCAGCCTGGTGACTGGGAATGTCAGCAATGTTCATGAGTAGCCTGGTCTGCAGGAGCTTGGTCTCCAACAGTGACCTGTGATTTTAACACCGCTTAGGAACCCTCTCTCTCTGCCCAGACTTAAGATCCTCCCGCCTCAGCCTCCCGAGGAGCAGCTGGGATCACGGGTGTGCACCGCTGCACCTGGCGGAAACCTGCTCTTGAACTTGCCAAGGGAATTGCCATTTGAACGTTGGCTTCAGATTCTAAAATGTGGGCTCTTCTGTTGTCCTTGTGCCTTAAAAAAAAAAAGTCTGTTTACTGCCACTTCAGTGGGTTGTGAGGAGGGATTCAGTGGCTGGATTCATCCTGTGGCCAACCACAGTGCCGCGGGGTTCAGTGCTGACGCGTCCCGGGCCCTCGCCCTTGGGGCTCACAGGAGACAAGTAGAACAAGGGTGCTCTGAGGGGCGGGGCTGGTGCCTGGGTGGGCTGGGGCGCTGACTGAGGAGGCAGCTCTGGGCTGAGGCCTGAAGCTCAGATGGAGCCAGCTGGGCTAGAGGGGTGGGTGGGGGTGGCAGGGGGAGTTGGCTCCAGGCAGGACCACCCAGGAAGGCCCTGATGGCCCACCTGGCCGGGACAGAAAGAAGACCATGGGCCCAAGGACTGCGAGGGGGCTCTGATGCCAGAGTGCAGGGCCCTGGATGTCTTCACAGGTGGTGACCCCAGACCCCTCTCCGCAGAGGGGCGGAGCTCTGTCCTGGGAGTGTGCCCTGTGTGGAGCGGTCAGCCCTCGCTGCCCCGTGCTTCTGGCCACAGCGCCCCACGGCTGCTTCCCTGCACACTGCCCCCATCCAGGGCCTGGCAGTGCCTAGGGACCCGCCTGCCCTACCATGCCCCCACAAGAGCAGCTGGCCACCAGGCTCTTGGAGACGGGTCACCTGGGTGGCAGCACTCTGAAGGGGAGTGACATGTCCCAGGGGCAGTCTACGCTTCTTAAACATACTTGGGTTGCAGAATCTACTGACATAAAAGTTGCCATCTTAAAGTCAGGCCTGGTGGCCACACCAGTCATCCCAGCAGCCAGGAGGCTGAGGCAGGAGGATCGCAAGTTCAAAGCCAGCCTCAGCAAAAGCCAGGCCCTAAGCAACTCAGCAGACCCTGTTTCTAAATAAAGTACAAAATGGGGTTGGGGATGGGGCTCAGTGGTCGGGGGCCCTGAGTTCAACCCCCGGTACCCATCCCCCCAAAGTTGCCATTTTAGCCATGGTAAGTGTACAGTGGGTGACATTAAGTGCTTTCACGTCCTGCCGCCATCACCACCAGCCGTCCTCAACCTTCACGTTCCCAAACAGAAACTGCTGTGTTGAGCACTTGTGTCCCCCGCCCCCAGCCCTCGTGGCCCCTGCGCATCCTGAGGACTGGCTGTTCACTTGGCTCAGTGTCCCCAGGCCCCTCCTTGTCGTCATGTGTGATGTCGCCTGCCCTTTAAGCTGAAAGGCCCTCCAGCAGATACACCGCTCTTGTCCTCACGTCATGGGTGAGAGTCGTGGGCACCTCTTGGCCACTGTGAGCAATGCCGCCGGGAACCCAGCCCTCTGAGGCCCACGGGGGGGTTCTTTGGTGTGTTCCCAAGTGGAAAAAGAGCCAGGACAGGGCAGGGCCTGAGCTGGGGGCGAGGAGGCCGCGGGCAGCCTGGGGACAGGCCGGGGACAGGCCGGGGACCGCAGCGTAGAGCGGCCGGCTCCTCCCACTGTGCCCGCAGCGACCCGCTGGCAGGGTTTCTGTGCCCCCTTCAGCCCCCTCTGTGGCTCGGAGGCTCTGCTTCCTGAGGGAGTCACGGATTCTGCCAGGACACAGCAGTGGCAGTGTCTGGGGAGGGAGGCGGTGACTGTGCTGTCTGCGAGTGGCCCTGAGACCCAGGGAAGGGGGTCTGTGCTGCGCGGCGGGGACAGGGAAGACGGGTGTCTGGAACCCAAGGGGTGCTCCTGGGCACCTCGTGGGACTTCACAGCTCTACGGTGAAAGTGAGTGGAGGTACCTTCGCACAGCGGGTCCACAGGCAGCCAGGCCCGTGAGTGAGGCCAGGAGCCCTCCCAGCGGAGGCCTGGGCAGAGGCGGGGGGGAGGCCGAGGAAGTGGTGCAGAGGATGGCGGCCAGGCTCGGTGAGGAGCAGAGGGGCACGTCCTTTCCCGCCTGTGTGCGTGTGCACTCGCGTGGGCTCACCTCTTCGCCACCTTCCTTCCTAATTCTGCGAGTTCGTTGGGGTTAATTCCGCAGCTCAGCTGTAGGTGAGGGAACACGGGTGGAGCGTGACTGGGTTCCGGTGGGTCACGCAGTGCCGACAC